CTTGCTCAGGCTGGTCTCGAACTCTTGAGCTCAAACAATCCGCCCGCCTCGGCCTCCCAGAGTGCTAGGATTACAGGCATGAGCCACCGCGCCCGGCCTGCTGACTTTATTTTTTAGGGCAGTTTTAGGTTCGTAGCACAACTGAGCAGAAGGTGCATGGGAGACCGTCCCCCCCAACCCCGTCCCCGTAGCCACAACCCCCAGACTGGTCCTCCGTCCCTGTGGATGAGCCGCCACCAACACGTGGACTCCAGCAGTCGTGGTTGCCCAGGGGCTCGCTCTGGGGCTGCTGCTGCTTCTAAAGCTCCAGGCCTCTGACGGGGCGTCTGCCTCTCAAGGGACGAAGGAGGCGGCCGACGGTTATCGGCCAAGGGCTAGTTCCACAGAGCCGCTTCCGTCTCAGTTCCCGGCCCGCCCAGGCGTGGCCACAGCCCCTTCGTGCTGCTGGATGGGGGAGAAGTGGCATCCTGGGGGGCGGGGCAGCCATGGCAGAAGGTGGGTGATCAGGCATCGGGTGAGGAGGCCAGGCCAGGCACACGGCACCAGCGCCAGGGTCTGCCCCGCTCGGACGGCACAGCTGGGTCCAGGCCTGGACCTGGAAATGTCCAAAGTTGCTAAATTCTGTGGGAGAGGACAAGTTGGCACATAAGATGCAACCTGAGCAACCGTCCTTTAAAAAGATAGGATGTTTGTGAGCCAATAATCCAGACTTGGTCACTTGTTACTCCTGTGACATGGACACTAGAACCATGGATTTCTTCACCACAGTGAATTAAATATTTACCGATGTTTTGGTCAATGATGGTGGTCCTGTAAGATTATAGTGGAGGCCGGGCGCGGTGGCTCACGCCTGTAACCCTAGCACTCTGGGAGGCCGAGGCGGGAGGATGGCTTGAGGTCAAGAGTTTGAGACCAGCCTGAGCAAGAGCGAGACCCCGTCTCTACTAAAAATAGAAAATTAGCCAGGTGTGGTGGCGCCTGGAGTCCCAGCTACTTGGGAGGCTGAGGCAGGAGGATCAGTGAGCCTGGTAGTTTGAGGTTGCTGTGAGCTGTGATGACACCACTGCCCTCTAGCCTGGGTGACAGAGCAGGACTCTGTCTCAAAAAAAAAAAAAAGATTACCGTGCAGCTGCCCTGCACAGGGGCACTATTTTTTCTTTTACACCCTACTTTTACTGTACTTTTCTGTTTAGATACACAAATACGTACCCCCGTGCGCCAGTGGCCTGCAGTATCCGGGGCAGTGACACACAGCACAGGTCTGTAGCCAGGAGCAACAGGTCACACCTCACAGCCCAGGTGTGTAGGCGGCTCTGCCATCCAGCTGACGCACCCTGGGATGTTCCCACAGGGACGAAATCGCCTAACGACACGTTTCTCAGAGTGTGTCCCCGTCGCTAAGTGACACATGACTATACAAGATAACACCTCACTGGCACTTACCACGGCCCTTGGCACACGGTAGATGCCTAAGAAATGTCATTATGACTGGGATTTGCTTACGTGTAAAAACACCCACGTTTTTAGGTGGGTCATCAGAACACTACCTCCCTCTGCAGTCCTCCAAGCATGAACTGAGATGGGTGCTGTCGTACGTTTCTCCTTTCAAGACGATTTTTTCCCTTACAAAATCTGCGTATGAGCGAATCTGGAAAGGGTTTCTCGGTCAGGAAACACTAGCCAAGCGGTGATGAGGCTCCGTATAAAGTCAGGCATTGGGTGGTTACTCTTTGGAGAGAGCTGGGAAGCTGGCGGGAAGGTGGGGAGCAGGAGATAAGCGTGCCGGCGTCAGGCAAGTGCCCGGAATACAGTCGGTGTTGTGCGAATGAGCTGTGCGCGCTGGAACGCGCTTCTCGTGAGTTCCATCGTGCCTTATTGACACCCAGTGGTTTCTTATTTGTCTCCACAAACATGAGCTGTAGAACAGCTGCCTCGTGTCTCCTCAGGGCTGCATGTGCTCCAGCGCTGACGGCCGTGCCCCACCCCGTGCACGGGTGCTTGGTCCAGGTTTACCATCTGAGTAACAAAACGCTCTTTTGCAGAACAACGTGGAGCACCTGACGGAGAAGATGAAGACCACCATCCAGAGGGGCCTCGTGCTCAGGTAACAGAAACACCCTTCGCACCTCACCTTCATCTTACACCGAGCTCTGAGCTGACTGCGTGGTTGTCACTATGGTTACTGAGGAGATACGGAAGTAGAGTCATGGCGAATTGTGTTAAAACCTTGCCTGCATCTAAATAATTAGAGGGGGATTTTTAAAATTTATTTTTGCTTTGTAGTCTGTTATTTTTTAAATTAAGCCCCTGACCTTTATGAAGAAGGAAGAAAATATGGTCGCCCCTATCCGTGGGGGACACTTTGTAAGTCCCTCAGTGGATGCCTGAGACGGGGACAGTACCGACCCCCGTGTAGACCGTTTTCTTGATCTGATAACCAAGATGGCTACTGAGGGACGGTCAGGCAGGAGGTGTAGACGGTGTGGAGATGCCGGACAAAGGGATCATTCAGGTCCCGGGAGGGACGGGGCAGGCCAGTGCGGAGTCACCCTGCTACTCAGAATGGCGCTCAAACTGACACTTAAATGGATGATTCTAGAAATAGACAATATTTAGTATTTTCGGACCTCGGCTGGCCTGGGTAACTGGAACTGCAGAAAGCACAACCTCGGCTGGGGGGACTCTGTACGTAGAGTCCCGGGAGGGCCAGAGGACGCGAGGTGGCCCTCCGCACCTGCGTCACCCCCAGCCAGGGAGCGTGCGCCCTGCCCACCGCGCAGGAAACGCACTCGGCCGCTTCCCGTCCGTTTCAGAAACGAGAGCTGCAGCGAAAACTACACCACGGACTTCATCTACCAGCTGTACTCGGAGGAGGGCAGAGGCGTGTTCGACTGCAGGAAGAACGTGCTGGGCCACATGCAGCAGGTGGGCGAGGGGGCCCCGAGGGCCACTGGGGCAAAAACGTGTCAGTGAATTCTGAGATGGGTCGTGCCACGCATCACCGGCTTTGGGATGCTTTCTCGTCTGATGTTTGGGTGTGGGGGCTTTTAAGGAAAACTATCAGTTTCGTGCAAATACTGACACCAGTGAGTTGGAAATACTTACTCAAACTTGAATTCAAATCAAACGAAACACTTCATTAAATTCAATATCGGGGCTTTGTAAGAAGAGTTAAAATGGAGTATTAGACAACAAATACTTGACGTTTACAGAAAACGGGGCATGCTGTAGCTTTAGGATTTGGGGGGTGCCCCGTGACGCAGCTGCGGCCTCCTAATCCGCACGCGTGTGCCTTTCCGTCGTGACCTCCTGGTCCTTGTCGGGAACGTTGAAACCAGAGCCCGCTGATTTGTTCCAAAGGGCTGGCGGATCCCGACAGCACACGATGAAAGTGGGCGGTGTGTTTCTGTGAAGTGTGTCCACAGGGTGTCAGAGTCTTAGCGGCAACTGTGGCCTGTCCACACCTACAGTGGGTCCAGAAATCCTCACGAGAGATTCCGAAGTAGCTAAGATTGAGGCTCATGTAGTCGATCCAAACCCGCGTCTCGCCGGGAAGGTGCTGTGGTCCCCGCGTACCAGGCCACGTTCTGGCTACCGGGAACACAGATTTCTGTTTTGTTTTGTTCTGTCTTGGCTATGCACAGAGAGAGAGAAGTATGCAAAAAGAAGACAAGACAAAACCATATTGACGCAACTGAGTCTTTCACAAATGTGAATTTTGTTAAATAGACATTGTTGCTCTGATTTAATTTTTAAAAATAAAGCGTTGCTGTGTGACTAATACCTCCTGTGACTGTAACCACCACCAGGGTGGCGCACCGTCTCCGTTCGACAGAAACTTCGGAACCAAGATCTCCGCCAGAGCCATGGAGTGGATCAGCGCGAAGCTGAAGGAGTGCAGAGGTACGAGTCCGGAGCGGGGTGGCGCACGCTGCCCGCCAGGCAGCGTCCAGCCCTTTCCTCGCGGTCCGCACCGAGCTCCGCAGGGCAGCAGCGTTTTCCTCTTGCTAGACTCTGTCGCTGCCTGTGACTGAAGCTCATAATGAAATAACATTAATAAGATGAAATGCTTCAGTCCCGCTAATCAGCGATGGAGACAGCTAATTTCGCAGCCTTCTTGCCCTTTCCTGGTCAGAAGTCACGGCACACACGCCAGACCATAATCGCGGTTCTGTAGATGTGACCTTTATTTCCTTCTTTGGCCACACGGAACTCTTTGGTGTTTGATGCTCTCACTTGAGATACCGCAGAGCCACTCATTACGCCACAGGTGTCTGCTTAGGGGAAACAGCAGATCGGGGGCATCTAGACTCCACCCTCCCCTGCAAAGCCTGAGCATGTCTGGCTGCGGCTGTGTTTACTCCACTCAGAACGCTGGGGCGCCGCCCCCTGGGTCCCTTTCGCCTTGCTCCCTGCGCGCTGGGAGCCTGTGGCCTCCTTCCCTGCGACGCCTCCTTCCGGCGACCTGAGGTTCCAGGTGTGCGTCGTCGATGTGCGTCCACTACCTGACACCCGGGTGCCCAAGGGGCCGTGTGACCCCTCCGCCCACCCTGGTCCTTGTGTCTGCCGACAGGCCGCCCGGGCACACGCAGCGGGAAGGCTCCCCGGGCACACGCAGCGGGAAGGCTCCCCGGGCACACACAGGGCTCCTGGGACGAGTTACACGAGCCCTTGGTGGTTCCCATGCCCCCCGCGGGGTGTGCTGTCCCCAGCTCTCCCACGATGCCCTCAGACCTTCGCTGGTGCCTGGACGGCGGGCGTGAGATGGTCTCACAGTGGTGAGGGAGTGGCAGGTTCTGTTTGCCTGAGGTTCCTGTTTCACTACGAACTGCCCAGTATGCTGACTATTTTTCTATTGGCTGGTTGCGTTTACCTTGCCAATCACACACTGCAAACACTCCCCTCCCGTCTGCGGCGTGCCTGGCTGTTTTTCTAAGTTGTCTTTCAAGGAAGTCGTCCTAATGTTAACGCAGGGCATCTACCGACCTTTTCCTTTATGGGTTGGGTTTATTTTCCATTTCTCTTTAGTTCTACTAGATATGAAGTTTAAGGTCTAATTTCATCTTCTCCTATGTGGATAATCAGTTATCTACAACAATTCACTCTGCAGTGTAACTTCCATCACAGATGAGGCGGCTGTGAATAAAGGAACTACTTCCAGGTTGTTTAACCGCAACGTTCTGGTTACGAGTAACTGCTGACATGAGACAGGGCAGCCTCCTCGTGTCATGGTCGTCCTTAGCCCTTTGTGCTGTCACAGAAACAGGGCCGGACTGTCAGGGGCCACCAAAATTCTCTATTTTTTTTTAGTGGGGGGGGGCTGCATTTAATCAAACCATTTGGAAGAATTGACATTTTTACAATTTTGAACTTTCTAATTCATGAACACTGTATCCCTCTCCATATATTTAGACCTTTTGTTATCTTTTTTTTTCATAAAGATCTTGCATGTCTTTTGGTAGGTTTATTTCCAGGTTCTTGATTTTTTAAAAAATACATTGTAAGTGGTATTTAACTCTTTTATTGTTCGTATATGGAAATACAAGGAAACATGCACAATTGTTTTTCAATCGGCAGCGTTTCTGCACTGAATCCTAGCACCTATCTGCGGGTTCGTTTTGTTGTCTACGCACACGTTCACGTGCGTGGCACGGGGAGCATTCCTGTCTCATGGCGCGGCCTTCCCAGCTTCTCCCTGTGCCTGCCGGCTGTGGGCTGCGTGTCACTGTGCCGGCACCTCTCCCGAGTGACCCTCTCGCGCTCTGCCGTGGCGGGAACGGGGCATGCTGTCAGTGCTTTGTGGCCAAGAATTCTAATACTGAACTGGCGTCTTTCTTTCTGCAATTTAATATGCGTTGGTCTTTGACAGATGTGTGTTATTAAGTGTTTTTTAATCCTGAAAGGACACTGGATTTTATAAACATTTTGCATCAGATGAGGCAATCGTTTAGTTTTTCTTTAGCTGACTTTCTAGTGTCAAGAGCAGCCTCCCGCTCCTGGGACAGACCCACTTGCCCATAACCTGGCACCGCGGGTTCCCCTGCAGCTCTGCTGCGCGGCCTCGCGTCAGCCGCCAGGAGCATTAGCCAGCAGCGTCCCTGCTGCCCGTCAGGTGCCGGGCCACGTTTGGGGAGGCCCCCCAGAAACAGTGCGAGTGGGGAGTTCTGATTTGCTTTTTGCATGTGTGGAAGGACCTCCCCGTGAAACCACCCCTCACAACCTCGAATCTTCCTCAGAGAAAACTGGACTGCTAAGGGAATCTCTCTCAGGTTTAGACAACTATTCCTGTTTCTTATGGATTTTGTAAGTTACATTTTCTATGAAAAATTCATCTAAAAGTGATTTTTCATAATATTCTCTTTTAATGCCTGAAACATTTCTAGTCCCCACTTGCTCCTGAGAGTGGCTGTTTCTGCCAATGCTTTTATCTCCCTCCGTTTCTGTGATCAGTCACACCAGGGGAGTTGTTGTTAGGGCAGGCAGAACACAAAGTCTGACTTATAAAAATGACACAATCTGGAAAAAATGGCGATGTAAATAGTTTCAACCTGATTTTAGTTTTTTCAAAAAACTGACTTTGGTTTTGATTCTAACAGGTTTTCTACATTGATTTCTGCTTTTCTTTTTTTTGGATTTATTTTCTTTTGCCAATTTAGCTATGGATGCTTCTCGTTAACTTTCGGCCTCTCAGTGTGTGCACTCAGAAACATAAATTTATTGGTGTTCTACTATTTCAGCATTTGGTGAAGTATGTGTTCACCTCCGCTGTGAAGACACAACAACTCCTTTCCGGGACCCCTCCTCCCTGGGGGCCGGGTCCCTGGTGCGAGGCAGGCGGGGCGGGCCGTGGGTCACGCTGGGCACGGGTCGTCCCCTGGCTCCCAGCCGGGTCAGGGTGGGGCTGAGGAGTCTGAGTTCTTCTCACCACGAGACTTTGCTCCCCGATTAGGAACTTTCTTCTCCCTTGAGTTTCATTCCTTCACATGTGATTCTCAGATCTCTTTTTAACTTTTACAGGAAAGAGATTTGTTACCGACGATTCCGTTTGTGTGCTGGGAATAAGCAAAAGAAACCTCCTCTTTCAACCCGTGGCAGAGCTGAAGAAGGAAACGGACTTTGAGTAAGTGACGGGGACGGGCTGGGGTCCCGGCTGCAGCTCACTCAGGTGTGCTGAGGAACCCCTGGCTTCCGCGAAGCCGGGTGAAAAAATACTAGACTTTGAGAAATGGGGCAGAGTTTTTAGAAATATGGAATTGTTTCCTTTCACCTGTGAAAATTGCCTTCTCCTGTAGCTAACTTAGCTGACTCCACAAAGGCCCCGCTCTGGCAGGGCTGTCCCCGGGCAGTGGGGCTGTCCCCTGGCGGCAGACCCGGTGCTCACGGTGTTTCCTACCCCCCAGGCACCGGATCCCCAAGGAGCAGTGGTGGCTGAAGCTGCGGCCGCTCATGAAGATCCTGGCCAAGTACAAGACGAGCTACGACGTGTCCGACGCAGGCCAGATGGAGCACGTGTACTACCGCGGCACGCAGGGGGAGCCCGCAGCCATCTGACCCTGGGCTGCCACCCCAGCCCACGTGTCTCGTGAGGCCTGGAACCCACTGGGGACCGTCCTTTTTGTGACATTAAGTTATTTATCAGCACTTTATGTGAGTATTGTTGACATTAGTGCCTAACCCGAGAGCACCCATCTTTCTTCTCCCAAACCCCCCCACGCCCTCCCCTGTGAGCTGTCCACTGTCCTCACATACCATGCTTCGGAATGTGTGTCTGTCTAGCAGATTAAACACTGGGCTAAAACCCCACCAGTACTCGGTTGTTTCTTAAAGTAGTTCAAAACCTCTGGCTACTGCAGCAGTCTTGAGGGGAGATCATTTCTAGAGGGAGACACTGAACTATGCAAGGAGAACGTCATAAAAGGAGAACAAAGACGGGATTCTGACACATAGCAAATATTTAACATTAAGTCAATACAAATTTCCCCTTGGCCGTAAGTGCTGTGGGGCCAGGACGCCTGGGCCTCCGGGTGACTGTGCAGGCAGGTGGGTCACTCTAGCCAGGCTCCTGTTCTCTTTTTAGAGGTCAAAAGTGAAGGAAATGAACGCCTACCTTAGTATGGGGCCCACACGCATGCTTGATTTCAATCCCAGCTGCTGCATGTTCTAGTCACCAGTGGGGGCTTTTAAAAGAATCTGATGCCCGAGTTCTCCTCCCGGCCACTCACCATCCCGGGTGGGACCTGGGCTGGCAGTGCGGACGGTGCTGGGGCCCACACACGTGCAGACACACACACACACGGGCCAGCCCAGGCGCAGACCCCGCCACCAGGTAACACCCAGGCCTCTGCCTCAGAAAGGGAGGAGGCCGCATGGACGGAAGGCGGGGGTTAAAGTTTGGCCTGGGAAACCCGAGGACGAAACAGCAAGGGAAGGGCTGACAAAGTTGGCGCTTACTAGTCACAACCCACCTGGCTCCCGGCCGCCCTGCTCTGCGCACCTGGCGAGAGGCTTTTCCGCAGGGCCCTGGGGTGGGCGCAGCTCCCGGGTCGGGCAGACGCTGGAGCAGCTCGTTCGCTGCTGGCTCCAACCCTCCATGGTGCGGTGAAGGCTCTGACACACTACACTTCAGCAAAATGTCATTCAAAACAATGACCAAGGCACAGGTCACAGCTACTCTTTATTTTTAAATTTCTAAGATAAATAGTTTATGATAAAGGTAAAATAGGCATTTATGTCACTAGAAAGTTTTAAAATTCTAATTTGTGCATCTTTGCACATTTAATACATGATTGTTTCAGTTACTTCATGGTCACTGTATTTCCTCCTTTAAGACAGAAGAGGTTTTGTCTGACTTGCCACTTAATAAAACCTTTGGCAAAACTTCAAGGATGACATTAGGATTTTTGGGAAAAGCAGTAACCTTTCTGACCTTTCAAATTAAATGTAGTCCAGAGACTTAAGGTTCAAGAACCGCCGTAGGTGCCGCCGAGCTCCCTTGCGCAGGCGGGGACACCGCGGGGAGCTATCGTGTGATCCACGACGGGTCCTCAGCAATCTTCGCGTTCTCCGGTCCGAGGATGGCCCACCCGTGCGTGCTCCTCGCGGTGCCGAGGTACCTGCGTGGGAGACGGGGGAGGTCGGGACTGCCTTCCACAAGGGCCACGCAGGGCCCCCCGCACGAGCACAGGGCCCACACTCACGCGTGGCTCACGGCGACCAGGCTGTCGTGGCTGACCGCAAAGAGCCGCTCCCTGTGCGCCTGCTTCCTCTCGTCCGACAGGCCGTACAGGAAGTGGTCCATTCCTGGAAGACAAAGCACAGGCGCAGCGAGAGCTGACGTCCCACGGTCACTTCCGGTGCACGTTTCAGCCCAAGGGCCTGGGACAGCGACCCCCGACTCCAGCCGCCACGGCTCCCACCCGGGAGTCTGGATCAGAGTCCAGCCAGAACCAGCGAGGCTGGGGACACCGAGAGCAGAGTGACATGGCTGCTCTCGTGCGTGTCCACATGTTGTGCTACGACCCAGCGAGGAGTCTCGCTGCCGTGGCCGGGCGTTCAGCCTCCCTGCGCCTCAGTCACCCAAGCTCTGAAATGACATCATCTGACTCCTTTGAAATCGCAAACATCAAGATGTTCTTGCCTGAAGGAGAGGCAACTTTTCAAGGTCAGTGCTCAGGGTGTCAAGTACGAAAATCGTATCACAAAGGAGGACAGGGAGACTCAAGAAGCTGGAACAACGGTGTCACCCCCGTGGCCCATAGGCACGAGTGACTCAGAACTCGCGTGTGAAACGCCGTCTGGTGAGATCTGTGTCATTTTCGCGTCATTGACTCAAATACCTTTGTCTGAGGGTGCGACAGGAGCGTCCACACTGGCGAAGACAGACAGCTTGGCTTCGTCAATGTCCTGCTGCGTGAACTTCCCGGATTTAGCCCAGTCCACAGCCTTCCCGAAGGCCTGGAGCGTTTCCACGGAATTCGGATCCCTAGGAAACCCAGAGTTACACGTTCAAGCATTTTACTGACGGAAAAAGTTACAACAGTCACGTGTTGACTTAACGGTTCTTCAACATTTTCTGTTAACAGCTCTGTTTTAAATTTGACGGTCCAAATGGCCACTGGCCGAACCAACCACTCTGCAGAAATCCGTCATCTGGAAGCAGCTCCAGCGCGGACGCGCCCAGTGAGGCTGCGGGGCCTGAAGGCTGGGAGCGAGGGAGGCCGCGCCCGCCGCAGCGAACCACCCCCCTTACCCTTAAGGTACCAGGACAGCTGTCGTCTCAGGCAGCAGGGCCACAGAAAATTAGAATGACTCTGCATAAAAGGGCAATGATCTGTGTTCACGAAAACAGCATCGCATTAGGCCTCTGCGATTGAAACGGGCTCCGAAAGCTCTCGGGTGGTGCAGCCAAACCCCCTTGTCAGGGAACGACCCCCCAGGAGATGCCTGAGACCTCAGACCGTACTGAACACCACACACACTGTTTCTCCTACGAGACACACCTAAGGTAAAGCTCGAGTCATACGTTAGGCACAGCGAGATTAACAACATTGCGTAGACGATCATAACCATGCTCCGGCACTGTTCCTCTTGCGCTTTGGGACGGTCAGCAAGTAAGACACGGGCGACTCGAGTGCAGCACCGTGGTGCCCCAATGGCCCATCTGACAAGCAAGACGGCTACTGAGTGGCCTCGGGTGGCAGCGTGGAGATGCTCACAGAGGATTCCTGTCCTGGGCAGGATGGACAGGATGGCAAGCGATCTCATCTCACCACTCAGAATGGGGTGTGATTTTAAACTTACGGATCGTTCATGTCTGGAATTTTCCATTTAGTGTTTGCAGACAGAGGCTGACTGGGTAACTGAAGGCAGAGAAAGCAGCGCTGCAGAGAAGGGGCTCCTGCATCCTGTCTGAAGATTCTCGTTCTCACACTAGGGTTCCCTAAGGCGAACGCCGCCTGTGCACGTGGCTGTCCCTAACCTCGCGACAAAGGACTGCGCTGGGGGAGGCGAGCTGCCTGAGCGGTGAGAAAAACTGCACGGTGAAAACGGCTTTTCTCTGTCCACGGTCCCCTCCAGTAGAGACGACAACGGCCCTGGTCGTGCCCGGGGCCCGTGACATGCGAGGAGGGAGGCTCACCTGTAGGAGTAGAGCGTGAAGACCCCGCTGTGGCTGAGCTTGGCGCCCCCGCCGTAGGCGCCCCCTTTCTCTCGAATCTCCGTGTGCAGGAACTTTGCCGTCATCAGGCGCGCAAGGATCTTAAGACTGAAATTAATGATTAACAGTGCAGGTTAAAAACAACACGGAAGCATCATATGCAACACGAGGTGATGGCAAGAGACGTCCAGAGTGTAGCTGATGAAGCAAACAGGCGGCAGATCAAGCTGTAAAGTGACACCGTGTACGTCATGGTCCCGCCGAGGTATTTGTCTTTTTTTAATGAACAAAAACAACCAACACGTGAGAACGGTTTCTAGTCTCGGTCCAGGCTGGAGGGTGCAGACTCTGCACTGCTCAGCTCGTTACAGACACACGGGGCACATTTTATGTCTGATAAAGTAGAAAGAGTTAATTTTTACTGTGAGGGCAAATACATAAACCATCATTTATGTAAACGTCTCACGTCAGAATCTGGGCAAAAAAACTCAAGCCAACATCCTGGGCAGGTTTTCACAGGGCCCCCAGGAAAACAGGGTCCAGCAAAGCCCATTCTGCTGACACCCACTGGGAACGGTGACGGCCGGCAAGGATGGTTCTAGAAAGCTTAACTCTTCCCCGCCCTCCCGGGGCACTCCCCACCTCCCTCCGTCTGGCCACACCAGGACGGGCATCCACACTGGGGCCCAGGTCCTCCTCTTCCCCGCTCTGCTGGGCCGGGTCCACACCCCTGGGGCCTCCTCTTCCTCCTTGGCTTAGTCTCTCACAGAGGTAGCTGCCTGAGACAGTAGACACAGGAGGGGAATTTCTGGAAACACCACACCCCCAAGTGGTGGCCCCCCAAGGGTGCATGTCTGTGGGTCTTTTCTCCTGGCCCGGCCGGTTTCTCCAGGAACGGGCACAGGTGCGTGGCAGGCACAGGTCAGAGGGGCGCCCACTGCCCGCTGCAAACTCCCGCATTTCCAGCTCTTCTGGGAGTGCCCTGACCCACCCTCCCCTGTGGCTGCTGCCACTCAAGCCGGGGCCTCCCCCTCAGAGGGGCTCTGGGACAGGCTCCGGATCCCAGCCCCACCCCACTCCGAGAGCCGCCCCTGTCTCAATCCCGCCACCCCTAGGGCCCTGCTGCGGCAGCCGGGCCTTCTCCCGGGCCCTTCCCTCTGCAGGCCCGGGTCGGGCTCTCCTCGCCCCGCAGCTCCCTCCCTGTGGCTTCTGCGCCTTGGTCGTGGTTCTGCGGGGCTGCTGGAGGGTCCGAACGTGAGCGCACGGGCTCAGCCTGCCCCGGTGGTCAGAAAGTCTCAGCACTAATTTATGCCATTTTTACTACAGATGAGCTGAGTGAACTGGGCATTTGAGGGGAGTCGGTTTAGGCCACATCTGGTTTTCTGTTCTGATAGGACCTGAGGGATACGTGTCACCTACAGATGTGAGTGGCTAGAAAGTTGGGCATTTTCTTCACAAAGACTCAGCTGTTTAAAGAGCACGCAGGGTCTCTGCTCTGAACGTCCTGCCCGTGCGCTCTCCCTGGCTGGGCACGGTGTGGGGAGAGCAGACCCTGCAGGTGACAGAGCAGCAGCAGGTGACACGAGTCCAGCCCTAAAGCCGGTGCAATGACTTCCTGTGATGAACACGCCTCGTCGCTTCCTAACACGCTCGACAAACTTCCTCACTAAGGCGCGGACCTAGGAGAGCCCCCCTCCCCCTGCGGCCCACCTGGCATGATCCGGATCCGTGTAGGGGACGGTTCTGATGCACTCGCCCACGTAATTCACGGGGAAGGGCAGCAGGAAGTGGGTCTTCATCTGGCAGGGCTTGAAGGAGGGGTCCTGCGAGACAGGTGCGTGCGTCAGGGGGCTGCACCGCCAGGACAGCCTGCGGCGCTTTGCTCACTTTAAAATTCACATGAAATATTCCCATCTGGACATGCCGCCTTTAAAATGCATCATTCCGTTAAAAACATCTAGTGCCATGTCTGGGAGCATGCTGAATTGCCACGAGCTGTGACGAACCAAAGCAAACTGCACCGCTGCAAGGCTGAGCGAGGCGAAAGAGCGATCACAAGCTACCTTCACGCAAAGGTGAACTGCAAGGTGGCGCGACCACGTGGAGCGCAAACGCCCTGCTGAGCACGAGCAGAGCCCACCCGTGAACAGGGCACTCGCTCGGCGCCGTCTCAGAGGCTCAGGGTGGCAGAGACAAAAAGAGACAAACAGACACTACTAGCCCACAGCTCTAAGGACACGCAGCCCCAGGAACGGCTCAGAGGAACACGCACAGACACAGCCGCGAGGGGCCGGCGCTGGTCACACGAGACTTACCGTGATCAGCTTTCTGACGATCTGGGAGCCACAGACGTGTGTGCTTCCGTCAGGACCGTTGTGCACAGGTTTCTGAAAATAAAACATTTCCAAGAGAAATGAGAAAAATCCAAAACTCATGTGAAATAGGCAAGATACACATTTTATAAAATCCGCAGAATAAAAAGCGTTAGGGCAGATTTGTTTACATGTTTTAATGACAAGTGTTATAATTTATAAAATGTTTTTAAAAAGAAATTTTAATAGATTTTTAGATATGGAAAAGAAGTCTTTGTACATTACAAAGAAAATTTCATTTTAAGCTTTTTTCCTTCTTCTGCAATTTCTGGTTAAAAAACTGCTTCCGGACAAGAGGCCACGTAAAGCACCCGGGCCCGGGTCAGAGGGGCTGAGCAGCAGGCGGCCCCGCACGTGGCACTGCTCCCAGGCCGGCCGGGAGACCAAGCCGCGATGGGACAAGGGCCGTGCGCATGTCGGAAACAGCCCTCTGCGAATCCCACAAACTGTCACCTTCTCCCCCGAGAGGTAAGGCTTCCCTGGTGACACTGCGAACTAGATTAAAACCCTCTTTGGTAATTAATCAAGTTCACCAGATTGGTGATCACGGACATGATTAATCTAGAGAGAAATCCACGAACTAACGAGTCGCAGTGAAAAGGATTCGACGACCCTGTGTCCTCCACACGCTCAGATCGCCGTCTGTGTCCACTTACGGCTCCGTGTCCCTGCGGGAGACTGCCCGCCACGAGGCTTGGGCAGGAGTAAGTGAACACCGGATCATGGCCAAACCGCGGGGTTCAAATCCACTCCCCACGGGGCCGACGCGGGGCCGGCTGCTCGGTCCTCCCGACCCTCAGCGTCTCACTGCACGACGGGGTATGAACGCCCGCACACTGGATCCCGAGACCTCGCACAGTCAACGCACGTGCAAAGTGAGGGCTGGCCCTGGTACCGCCAGGTGCCCAGCGCCGCCAGCTGCGTCGGCGTTACCTCGACCACGTGGGGGCGCCCGAGGCTCCCGAGGAAGTTCCCCACCGCCTGCTCCGTCCGAGACAGCTGCTGCGGGGCAGCGTTCACCGAACACCTGTTCAAAATTACGCACGTATGAAACTATTACTGATAAAAAACGTGGTTTACTAATCCATCAAATTTTGTATAAATAACACAACAAGTTAAATACTACTTGGTTTTTGTATAAAATGATACACAAAAACATTAAAAAGAAACAGGAGCCAAATGTGGAAACAACACAGCCGTCTTCCTTCTCTACAAGCTTTCGAGTCATCACGGCGCCCGGCCAACGGCCGCCCTAACCCTCCTTCCTCTGAGGGGCAACGGGAGTGAGGAGAACATTGGGACCTGCCGACAAGGCCTTTACACTTACGTATCAGAGACCAGAAACTTCTAGAATTACTGTTCGGAAGAGAAGTCAACACTTTGAAAATGTGAACTGGTTGCTAAAACAGAAAACTATCTGACAAAGTGCCAAAAAGTTATCGTGCTCTCAAAATCACACAAAAATAGAACTTCCAAACTCTACAGAGTCACAAATACTACCCTGTAAAATTTACTTGCCCTCCGTAATACGTTGACAGAGTATATATGCATTTTTCCCTGTGGCCCTAAATCCTAAATTTATTTTAGCTGAATTCGCAGCAGGTACCATTAACGCCCCAGCACCGGCACTAGGCCGGCGGCTCTGCACAAGTGAATTCTCCCGCCCTCACGATGAACCCGCAAAGCTGCGTTCCAGGGAGGCGGCGGCCGAAGACCCAGTGGTGAAGCCGCCCGGGGCCTGGGCGTGAGCGCGAGGGACGGCCTAGCGCCGGACAACATGCCTGGCGCCTGAGCAGAGCCCCGGGGAACCGACCACCACCCGCCTCCTGCCACACACAGAGCGTCCCGTAGGATTCGCCGGAGAGCCTGGAAACTGACCCGGAGAGGTTCCAGGACTCAGACAAACATTTGCTTGTTAATCATCAGTGAATGCTAATCAGTGAGCCTGACAGGAAGGTGCTGGCGACAAACTTAGTATTTTTAAATGTCATTCCTGTTTGCTAAGGGCAGGAGGCCACCGTGCAGAGTGGGCCTGAGCTGGCAGACCCCTTCTTCAAACCATCTCGGAACTGCACTGTTACAGAAACAGACTTTCACGCCGGCCTGTTGCTCTGCGGCCCCCTCTGCTGCCTCCTCTACGGATCATTTGCTTTTGGAAGCAAAATAAATATTTGACCTAAGTATATCTATTTGCAGTTCTAGGATAAATGAGTTTCCTTTCTTCCCCACCTCGCACTACTTTTATGGAACTTGAAATATTATTTTTTCCCAAAGAAAATGATTTCTCAGCTTATAAGAACACTTGAATCAGTTCTATAACCTACGCTTTACCAAGCGCTCTTTCGTCTTGAAGGTTAAGTGTACCTAATGGCAACTTCAAGTGAAAAGTATCTAAAACTGTACTTAAGGAAACGGAAGGAGTGGTGAGGTCTCTGTTTTAGACGGGAACTGTGAACCCACCTCATGTTGTCACGGTTTAGCAGATGCTCCTTGATACGCGGGAGCTTCCTCAGGACGGGCGTGACGTCTGCCATTTCCGCAACGCTCTTCATCAGCCTCACCTGGACCAGAGGAACCCGGGGACAGAGACCACCGTGGACCTCCCAGTTGGAGACCAGACACCCTCAACCTCAGAGCCCTGCTCGAGCGGGGGCTCAGGGCCCAGGTTGGGGGGCACGGGGCTGGGGCCGGGTGGCACTAAGAGGAAAGTGAGTTAAAAAAAATTTTCCCATGAGATGCGGTCGATTAGAAAGTTAGCTTTTTTGAGATATGAATAACTTACTCCCAGAGAACATGAGCGAGTCTGCGTAAGGTCCGGCGCAGCCGGAATGGGAACGGCACACCTGCCCTCACCACGTCCCACCTGATCCATGCCGCCGAAGGTCTCCTGCAAGTCCCCCGCGGGCGTGAGGGTCCTGCTCGCTCGGATGGACGCGTAGAGGTGCCCGGAGTCTGGGATCCCATTTGAGAGCTCCTGAGCAGTCATCCTGACCAGCACTCGGAAGCGCTCCTCCTCCTCAAAGCGCGGGCTGTGGACAGTGAACAGAATGGGCTCCCGCACACCCAGCCGCGTGCCCTTCTATTACTACGGCGTGGAAAACGTATTAAGTGTAAGTTTTCCGACCATTTCGACAACCTCAGAAATTTTGCCAGTAAGATCAGGCTAGGGAATAACAACACAAGTACGATCTACTTGAGAACACTTCAGACTAAAATCTCCACAACACCCCAGGAATTGACGTCATTTGCAAATAAAGTTACTTGTTAAAAATTTCAGTCCATAGATGCATCATGTCTGGTAGGTTTCGCTCCAGGCAGAGAGATGAAAAGAGCACACCCTAAGTCATGGAATAAAAAAAAAATACAAAAGAAGAAATTAATTGCAGCATAATTAAAAAAAAAAGACACCGGAGAAACAAACTTCTCGGCACAGTGTGTTCCAGAAACGAAGGCTACCTGCTCGTACGTGTCCAGATGGGAGTCGTCGGGGAGCACGTGGGGGGACACGGTCATCCCCCCCGTCTTCAGCTCTATCTGCTGAGCCTGTTCTCTGTAGTCAAGGACGCCACAGCCCATCCTGACACGGCGAGAGGTTCCCTCGATTACCAAGCAATCTTTGCCAGATCATTTTAAAAATCACGCATCTTGAATTACAAGTTGTTTAAATTAAATAACCACAGCTTCAAAACCTCTCTTTTCACACTGTGCAGGTCGTAAAGCGCGATGACACTGGCACTAGCCCTCCAGAGTGTTCATGCGCCTTCTCCCCTGGGTGGAACCAGGTTCTCTCGCTCGGGGACCCACTGACGGCGTCCGGGCCACCTGCACCGGGCAGCCAGGGTCTGCACTAAAAATAAGGTTCTAAAATGCACATGTCCAGTCCTACGCTTTAAGTGTCCTGTGAGGGTTCCTCACCCTCCTCTTGCACAACGCTCTGACACGTACTTCATCTGCTCAAATATCTGGCGGTCCTGGGGGAAATCTGAAGACTAAGCCTTTCTGGTTTCTAAGAGGAACACGAGTCTGCCCAGCACTTTCTGCAGGGAGCAGACGCTCCATCCCCAGGAGGGCAGCCGGTGAGCTCGGTGGGTGGGTGGCGGCCCCCAGCTCCCATGTGGTCTTGTGCCCGCTGTGTTCCAGGAACAGGAAGGGAAGCCCACAGCCCTGCCCACGGCTTGTCCTGTCACCCTGAGCACGGACACAGGGCAGAGGGGAAGGGACAGGCAGCCGGTGTGCACCTGTGCATGTGCCCAAACCTACCCGCAAACACCGTGCACGGGGCACGGTGGGGACCGCACAGCAGGCTCAGAGGGGGCAGGCGCGGGTGTTCGAGACAGCCCGGCCTAGCTTCCCAGGTAACTGCCTTTCTGATCAACACCCATCTTCTCCAAAATCCTACCAGGTTAGTATCACTGAGATAGATTATGTGTACTACCTTATACTCTAGATCCATAAGAATTTCAATGTAATATAGTAGGAAAACATAATTTTCATTAAAAAATTCTAAGCCAATATATTTGTACACTTTTACTCATGCACTATAAGTTTGAAAAAATGATTCACTAAAAGGTATCACTATTAGTGCATTAAAACGATGTAAAGTACGTATTAGTAAACTACACAGACGTGCGAACCGCACAAGCACGTGCGTGTCTTCGTCTTACTTGGTGAGGACACTGCAGAAGAGGGGCACGTAGGGCCTCAGCTCCTCGGGAAGCGTGTCCAGGCTGCAGAAGGCCCGGAAGTAGACCACGCCGTTGGTGGGCTGCGCGCAGTACTGGACAGGGGTGTCTCCGCCTGGAAAGCAAGGGTGACTTGGTGGCTCCTGCCGTTATTAGTACAACGTTAACCACTTTGATGTTTAAGAAATTAATGCTATTGCTTTTCAAGGACGGAGATTTAGAACTCGTATTAGCAAAAAAATACTATTCACTTGCTACATAGATTATATAAATTTCCCTGTTGTACCCTCATTACGATAAAAGCTGGAACAGTCTCCGTGACTAAAGTGACGCCTGCTTTCTGAAGAATGAGCAAGGAAGAATGAAGGCCTGTGCTGCCAGGTTCCTTACAGGGCAGGGGGCGCCCCGCTCCTTCCACCCACCCACCGTCACCCAGCGCCACTCCGGAGACGTGGGCCCCACCGTCTCACCCACCCAAACTGCCCTGCTGCAGCCCAGGTGGCCCTGGGTGCCTGCGGGTCCCCTCCAGGCCAGGGCAGGCGTGGGGTGCTCCAGCCCGCACAGCCCTAAGCACGGTGCCCTGAACCAGAGAGGCCGAGCACGTCCTGATGGTGGATCCACCCTCACCCGTCCTTCTAACGAACACTCAAGGAGAGCCACCGACAAACGGAAATTATGGGGCGTTAAAAGACTGGTGGGATGTTAATCCCCATTTCCAGAAGAAAGATTTCACTTCCATACACACACACACACACACACACACACACACACACACACACACACACACACGCACATACACAGAGATACACACGTGTGCACACGAATCAGACGTGGTTAACACAGCACTGCTAAAACACTGCAGGCAGGCAGAGATGCCTCCCAGGAAACGGACGCCCAGACACGGTCTAAAACCCTACCCTCGGGGCCAAGTTGAAGCACCAGCTATCTTCAGCTCGGTAAACCCGGCCAGGCTCCTGCGGAGCCCAAGATGGACCCCTCCAGGGAAACTGTCTCTCCTGCCACCACCCAGGGGGCAGAGTAAACAGAGGGGCGACAGGATGAGACACCAGGACCAGTCAGGGCATGAGAGCGGCCTCAGCTCCCTTCCCACCCTCCAGAACCGCTGACACCCGCACTGGCCGAGGCACTTCCTGTCCGCTACGCTGCCTCGGGCTGAAGAGAGAGGACACAGGGCTCCGAGGACGCCGATGTCGTCTAAAGCTGCGCTTCCCACAGCCACGCACAGCCCAAACCCTCGCCTGATCCTACAGCTGCAGCTGACAACGACCCATCAAATCCACGTGTGACAGGGACACAGACGGGGCTCGGAGCACGGAGGGCCACCGTCGCTGAACGTTGGAAACGCTCAGGACCCGAGGGGAGCAGGACCGCAGATGAACAGGGACGCTCAGGCACTCTGCGCGAAGCAGCTGAAACGTGACTCTGCTCTTCCTGTGGGGACTGGTATCTAACGTCACCGAGGAACCGAGCACCCGGGGAGAGGACAGTGACCTGCCAGGACCACGTGCAGCTCCGTGACAGGCATGGTGGGCTCGATATCGGAAACTTTCAGCGCCGGCAGGCAGGAGGCATCCTGGGGCTTGCTCTGCTCAGTCCGTAACTCCAGACCTAAAAAGAACAGGAGCATGGACACTCGGTGCCACAGTCGAAGGGTTTCACGCACCTTCTGTGTGCTGTCGCCTACGTTCGCTGGCCAGCCCGTGCCAAGCGCGGCACCTCGGCACCGCGGTTTCTGTGGCGTCCGCGTGCCCCGAGGCGGGATCTGGACGCACTCACAGACGCGCACAGGCGGCCCTTTGCTAACTAACGCTCGTTCTTCAGTCATCTTTGCGAAGCAGTTTCGCTGGGGAGCCGCGGCTCTGCAAGCAGTTTCCCCTCCACCCCTCGAAGTTGTGCACCAGACAGATGAACTTGTTTTTAAGGGTCTTCAAACCATTTCTTCCTGGGCTGAAATTTAATGACTGTGACCCTTATTTTGTATTTTCACGTATTTTAGCTACACGCTTATGTAGTCACATGAATCGCACAATTACAGAGATGCTAAAAGCCGCATTTCTGTTCAACCAATGAGAGGGAGGCGGCCCCTCGCAGGGCATCAGGCACAGACCAGTCTGCAGAGAGAACCACGCGGCCAGGCAGGAGTTTAAGGACAGACCTGAGTGGCGCACGTGTGAAAAGACTTCAGTTTAAAATTGTCGGGCAAGCACACAAACACACGACGTCACACACAATTCCCAGGGGACACCGTGCTGAGCTACTACTTTAACTCACGATCACAGCAAAGCGTATTCCTGGTGTCTGCTGAGCTGACCTTAAGAGGAAGACTAGAAACTTCCCTCATCTTCCACACCCACTCTTCTGAAGCTCCCTGAGTGCACAAGCCCCACTTGGACGGAGGACTCAGGGCACCGAGAGCATCTCAGCTGCCACCACCCTCCCACAGGCACTGCCGGCCCCGTCACAGTAGAGGACACGCCCTCC